ACAATGGTCTTGTAACAGTACATTGTTTGCTCCCAACCTGCTTATATTAGGGGTGGGGGTGGGGATTTCCTGGGACATTCTGTCAACTAGTTTTATTGTAGTGCTGTCTGTGTGTCTTTGGGTTTGCTATATCCTAGTTGCTCAGTATATTTTTTGGGGGGGAAAGAGGACTTTCAAATATTAAATCAACTTCGCCTTCCTCAAATAAGCCAACCTTGGTTGTAATACATCATTTTAATGTATCGCCAAACTCATTTTGCTAATAATTTGTAAAATATTTATGAAATGTGTTGGTTTATATTTTTTCTTGAAATGCCCTTGTTGAGTTTTGTTATAAAAGTTATGCTGTCCAAATGACAAATATCCATTGTTTTAATAGGGTTTATGTTAAATTGATATTTATTTATTAAAAGTTATGTAGGATTTATTGATGAAGCCATCTGAGCCTAGATGTTCTTGGTGGACTATTTTAATTAAGATTTAATTTCTTTACTAGATATAGGACTATACAGACTTTCTATCCCTTCTTGTTTCAGTTCTTAGTTTCACTTAACCTTTACAATCATTGACATAAATCTGCTCTGATTATCATTTCAATCTTGGTAAAATCCATACTTACGTCCCACCTTTTATCCCTCATATTGATAATTTGGTTTTTCTTTTTGGCTTCTGATCAGTCTTGCCAGTTTTTATAATTTTATTAATTATTTCAAGAATGAAAGTTTGACTTTTTACAATTTTATATGAAATATATATATATATATATATATATATATATTTCATATCCTTCTGCTCTTACTGATTTCCTTTCTTCTACTTTGTTGTTTCTCTAGCTTCTTAAGATACTTTCATCAATATTTTAGCTTTAGTTCTTTCTAAATATATAATATACATAATATATATCATAAATTGAGTAATATAGCTAGATGGCTATACATTTTCCTCTGAACATGGCTTTGACTGCAATCCACACATTGTGATATACTGTATGCTTATTAACATTCAGAAAAAACATATCTATACATATCTTTAAATTTCTACTGTGATATGTTCTCTGACTCAGAGGTTATTTAGAAGTATGATACTCAATTTCCAAATATTTTGGAATTTTCTATTTATCATTTTCTTATTGACTTCTTGAATATTTCTGTGGTGGTCAGAGAAAATAATCCATATGATTTCAATCCTCTGATATTTATTGAAACCTACTTTCTAGACCAGTATTTGATAAAAGTCCCATACGCACTTGAAAAAAAAAGTTAAGTCTACAGTTGGTTGCTTTTGGCAACATTTGCTTTATGTCTGTCTGTACTCCTTTATCATTATGAAATATTCCTCTTTATCTCCAATAATATTTCTTGTTTCAAAACCTATTTTATCTATTATTAATAGAGCCATACTGATCTTGATGTGTGGTGTATTTGATGACATTTTTTTTTGAAGAGACCAGGGCTCTTATCTTATAAAATGTCCCACCTACAGGATTTGTTTCCTCTTAGTTTCATTTAACTCATTCCTCTACCCTACCCACTTCCTAGGAACCAGAAGTGAGATCTAGCTAAATTAGATTTAGGGTAAACATACTTAGCAACTTCATAGGCAGTGCTTTGAATTTTATATTTTGTCATGTCAGGGATATGATCATTCTAGACTCATAATATTGTTGGGTGGGTGAAATAAGAGGACATATTCCAAGTGCCTAAGATGCTATCTGACACATTACAGGTAAAGAGCAGAGTTTCTCAACCTTAGCACTATTAACATTTTGGGCTGGATAATTCCTTGTTGTGAGCATTGTTTTGCTCATTGAAGGATGTTTAGCAACATTCTTGACCTCTACCCACTATACGCCAGTAGCATCCTCCAGTTGTAACAACCAAAAATGTCTCCATTCAATGTCATATGTCCTCTGGGGGGAAATTGGTACTAATTCAGTAGCACAGGCAAAACCCAAAAACTGGTATAAAAAAGTATTTGATAAATATTCCATAACCACATAAGATCATGTCCTGTGCAAGGCTTTGAGACTAAGAGCTGAATGGAACATGACTGCTGATCTCAACATACTCATAGCTTGGGGATAGACAACCATAGCAAATGGGGAATTAAAATATGGTATGGTAAGTGCTGTGATAGGGACAATCATGTACTATGAGAGGAAGGGCACCTCACTCAGTCTGGAGTAGGGATTCTTTAATGAAGAAATAGACTTCTGAGTTGAGACCCACAGGACAGAACTTTCTCCCCTTTCCCATTAAGGCTCAAGAGATCAAACCTATAATGACTGTTGTGAATGAAAAACACTCAAGAAATAAAGGACCAAAACCCACATAATTTCCTGCCTGTATTTCAGAATATGACCAATAAAGATTAATCTACTACCAAGTATACAGACACAGGCAAGGTGAGCCAGGAGTGAGAGCTAGAGGCGGCGCAATCAGCCATCTACTTCTTCAGCTGTTAATAGCAAATGTGTTGTATTTTTCCATTCTATAGCTCTCAGTCTGTTTGGGGTCAGACTGAATAACTGAAACCAGATTAACACCAGTCAGATAATGTCACACACACACACACACGCATACACACGCTCCTCATTGACACAGAAAGGCCTCCAATGAGGGTGCCTGCCCAGCTGTGCATACGAGCCAGCTGCCTCTATTTCCCCTCTTCTTCTCCCTTTCAGCTTGCCTGCACTGTAAGGGAGAGGCTGGTTAACTCTTCACTTAGCCTGTTAACTGTTCCCTAAGCCTGATTCCTCTAGTTCCAGGGAAAATCGCTCACCTCTCTCGCCTAATTCCCACTGAGTTCTAGCCCAAGTGTGTAAGAGAGGAGGTGCCAAGTCCTCCTTCTGGGTCTTGCCCATGAAGATTTCCCACGTGCGATCCTTCGTGCTGTTTTCCCTTCCACTGGCTTGATGCAGACAAACACTGGTTCCTTAAACAGCAAGATTGCAAGATGGCAGAGCTGAGGAGTGGAGGGAACCCCTGTTCCTGAGGATCCCCTCGGAGCAGAGAGGCCCAGAACCAAGAATGCCCTTACTGGCTCTGATCTGATTAAGAAGTAAACTTCCACTGAGATAAACCATGAGATTTGAGGGTTTACCTGGCACAACAGTTAGCCTTACCCTCTGAACAAGCCAAAGTAGAGAAAGAGACAGGTTTGCCTGCGATTGTAACCCTTTCTGTCCCTCAAATACACACGGTATTTCAGCCATGATCACCACGCCAAAGAGAAGTGCCTTGACCAGAACATTTAACTGAGATTCCCTGGAGCAAAATGGGTACGTGGGAGGTCATTTGCTAAAGATCACACTTCATCTAATGTCTGCAGCACAGAAGTATGAAAGGACGTGGGCTTTGATGTTGGACAGATGTGGCTTTGAATCTTGGCCCACCCCCCCCGACAATTCTTTGGCTCCATCTCTCTGGGCCTCTGTTTCTTCATCTGCAAAATGAGAGTAGTCACACCTCACAGGAATTTTGTGGGGATAAAATAGCAGCATGTAAAACACTGGCACAGTTCCTAGCATGTCCAAGGTGCTCAATTAGTTCCCTTCCAACAGCCATGAAATGAATGAATTGGAAATTTATTTACCCTTCTAATAGAGGACTACACAAGAGGTGGCCTTTTCACTAAGGGCTGCATATTTATCCTTCCATAGATGTTGAATATTTCATAGAAAGAAACCAGGTCCAACAAATACTTGTGTTTTTCTTCCTTGGTCTAAATAAGGAGAAGAATTTAAGTTTTAAGAAACTTAAAAATAAAAGCATAAACAGAGGCGACATTCGTTACTTTTATAACTATTTACCCTTATAGGAAACAAATGTCATATTTTCAAACCAACAGCAGCAGAGCATATGTTGACCTTTGACCAGCAGAAGAGAAATAATTGAGACAATTTGCACAACAGAGGGGGGAGTGATGGATTTGGCTGGGCAACACCCCTTCCCACTCTCCTGTCCTCCCAGATGGAATGATCACAAAGCTAACAAGTTGGTGGCAGGCCCTCGCCTTACCCATGCCCCTCTCTACAGATGAGATCTGACAACAGGACAGGTAAACATGGCACACCCTTCCAGGTAAGCTGGCAGAGTAGAGAGCTGCTGCAGCCCCCGGCCCCGACTGCAGGAGGAAGCTGAAATGTCAGGCCAACCGGGACTCGGAGGGAGGCGTGAAAGAGAGCCACCCACCAGCATGACTAAGTGCTCTTGGGGACAATCCCCACTCAGAGGGCAGAAAGCAAATATCCAGATGTTATGAGCTGCCAGATGTGATTAACTGAAGAAAGGTGAAGCTGCCCACTTAACCATCTGAGCAGCTCCCCTCATCAAAGTGACCCCAGACTTCTCTGCAAAAGCATCAATCAATAAAACAAATGGAGGCTCCATCCATCTCCCATCTTGCCCCTTTCCCTCTCTCCCCCTGATTAAGTCAGAATGGTGGCCTATTTTTAAATCGCTGGCAAGGAATTCTGTCGTGGAAACGTGTGGGATCCCTGACACAGGCTGATCGCACTGCGACGCAGGCGCTCCAAAGGCTTCGCCCACTTGCCGTCCTTCCTCTCCCGTGAGAATGGGGCAGGGGTGGCGCAGGGAGGAGGAGAGGGCCTGGCGAGGGAGCCCACTGCCCTCGCAGAGGAGCAGGGCGAGCGTAACACTAGTTTCCATGACGGGGAGCTAACTGCGGGCTTCCTTCCTCCCCGAACGTGAAGGCTGAGGCCCGGGCCAGAACCAACCCCACACACAAATACCAAGAGGGAGCTCAAGGCTGAGAAGAAAAACAAAGCTCAGATGCCAATTCTAGCATCTTTCAAAGAAAAAGTGTTTATGTGAATCTCAGTGTCTCTGTAATGTGCATCTAATGTGCTTTCAATGTAATAGCGAACATTTTATGAAACATTGGAGACTTTTTTTAGCAAGGTTGCAGTGAAGCCAATTTACAAAAAAACGGAAAGAGGAAAGATGACTTTTCAAGAAAGGAGGTTGAACTGTACTTACAATCGCTCCAGCTGCTTCAGCTCCTGGAAGGCGCCTCTCTCGATGATGCTGACCTGGTTGTCTTCCAGATGCCTAGAAGCACAGAGGCAGAGGGTCAAGGGCAAGAAGGGCTCAGGGATCCTCACACCAGGCTTCTGGCCACGCAGGCATGGGCATTCAGCCCCTCCCACCACCCTCGGGGCCCCCAGCTGGGATCAGAATGGTGGGACCAGAATGGTGGGACCAGATAATTCACATCCCAGCTTGGTGTCACGGTAACCAGGGTTTCGCCGCCTGCACACTTCTACCTGACAGATTGGTTCCCATGCCTCTATTTTAAGAATGTTCTCAGCAAATGTCCCCCCAAGCACTGCAGGATGTTGCACAGAAAAAGGAGAGGTAAAAGCTGCTTCTTACAAAAACTACACATATAATCAGCATCTCTCCCCTCAGAGCTCCTTCCCTCAAGGATTCAAAAATACTTCACTGCAAAGGGCCTTCTCTGCTCACTCTGTCTCTGGGTCAGCGAGTAGAGAGGGTGGTGCTATTGTTGGGCAGCTGCCTGTGACAAAGGGAAACCAGCCAGGTGCCAGGAACTCCTCTCCTAGTGCCTGTCTGTGCCCAACAGGAGGGCGGTGGTCACAAAAGCTAGAGCTCCCCAGCCTCAGGCTCTGCTGACCTGCAAAGTCTTTGATGCAGGTGATTAAAAAACTAAACACTCTGCTTACAGTGAGTTTGGTTTGTGCATGTGGCATATCATAAGAATTGAGCACACAATGAAACATTTGTTTCCCTAATTTAAAAAAAATAAATGGCAGCTTAAAATGGATTAGCTGGATGGTCGGGAAGGGAAGCAATGAAACTGCATAGTTTCCATCCAGGGCTAGTGGCTGAATGGGACTTAGTGGAGGCTGAAGTGTGCTTCTCTGGAGGGTGGAGCTTAGGAAGGGCCACGGCTTCCTCTGGATCAATAGGAGGAGAGGCGCCCAGAAGCACCTGAAGAAAAAGCAGCAGGGAGGCAGAGTAGCCTTGAGGAGGCTCCATCTCCACTGGGAAGGATTCCTCCCACAACAGCCCTCCACCTCTGTTACCGCCGAGATGTTTCGTCCCCACTCTGCCCCCTTCTTCTTAGGCGTAACACTTGGGCCTCTGTGTTTATTTTCAGGTCCATGTTCCCAACTATGCGCGAGGACCAGGAGGGTAAGGGCTTCATCGTTACACTCCCAGCCCTCACACGTTCGCCCAGACAGCAGTCACTTAGTAAAGGCTTACTGAAGGGATGGAAAACCGTAGAGGGCTTTGGGCCACAGCGCATACTGATTTTATATCAAGGAAAAAGCTAGTCTAGGTCACATGAAGTTTCTCACTTAGACTCTCAGAGTGAGGGGGGTATTTTGGGCTCAATGATATTTTACATTTTCGTGAATTTGTTGGAAACAATTAAAAATCAGGATATTTCTCTCTCACACAATCTCTCTCTCTCTCTCTCTCTCTCTCACACACACACACACACACACACACACACACACACACACACACAGAGGAATTCCTTTTGAAAACTCAGCTGTCCTATTTCCAAATATCAAGAATGGGCCAGAACTGAGTGTGGGTCAGGCAAGGCACACGAGCTCCACAGTCGGCCATAGGCCTCATCCATTCTGATTCACATGTTCATGTTACTTCTGGCCTCTGTAGGCTCCTCACTTAATATATCTGGACAGCACGAAGCAGAGAGATGAAGAGACTTGTCCAAGGAGAAATCGTTTGCATAAAGTCAAGCAGCTAGCTAGGGTGGGCTCTCTAACCCCCACTTTAGCGTGCTTGCAGATTTGACTTAGAATCCCTTTCCTGCCCTCTTACCAGCTGAAGGTGACATTGGGCTGTCTGGTCAACCTCTCTAAGATTCACTCTCTTCATTTGTAAAGCAGAAAAAAAAAAATTAAAAACATCTCCTAAGTGAGCCCTGGCCGGTGTGTCAGTTGGTTGAGTGTCATCCTGTACAGGAGAAGGCCGCAGGCGCGATCCCCAGTCAGGGCACATACCCAGGTGGTGGGTTAGATCCCGGATTGCGCTGATACAGGCGGCAACCTGCCCACGTTTCTCTCACATCAGTGTTTCTCTCTGTCTCTCTTCCTCTCCCTTCCTCTCTAAAATCAATACAAACATATTCTTGGGGGAGGATTTAAAAAAAAATCTCACAAGTAAAAATAAAAATGGACTAAAGTTTGTGAACTATCTAGCCCGGGATCTGGAGTATAATTAGATGTTTAATAAATTCTCTTTTCCTTCCTTTCTTTTCCTGTCCCACCCAGCCATATGGCTACGAGGGCCTTGGAATGCTAACAGACTTACACTAGCATGTCTTGCTACAGGGGGATCCAGTTCAACATCAGTGATGGGCGGTTTGTTCAGCTGGGTTTTTGCTATCCATCAATCCATCACAGAGCTTGTTGTCATTACTTCCCAATTATAACAAGGAGCAATGGGGGGGGGGCTGAGCGCCGCATGCCCTCTGGGTCCTGGAGGAGTCAGACACTGACCTCCTATGATGAATCTCTAGTTCTGTGCTAATTAATCTGACACTGCCAGCTTCTCTCAGAAAGGGGAGTAGGAAATGGAAATATACCTGTGTAGGTATCTGCCCCTTCCCACTCTGCTGAGGCCCCGGAAGGCTAATTTCATCACATCAGAACCCTCTTCCAGTCTGGCTTCTGCTGGGTTCAGCCAGCAGGAGTCCCCAGCAGGAGATCGGAGGGTGGAAGGACACTGAGTGTGGCTGGGAGGTTTATTTCCAGCTCCCTCCCTGCCAACTCACTTCAAGCCGACTTCGTCTCTCTACCTAAGACCACAGGTCCTGTCAGGCTGTCCCCACCTCTGCGAGGGCAACCACTTCCTCCCACTGCTGCTCGAGGCCTAGAGGCCAGGGAGCTACGCCATCTCCTCTTGCCCACACCTTTACAAATAATTCTGGATTTAGCTCTCCTCATTTGTCCTGTGTGAATATCATCTCTTTCCCGCTGGGATCCTGATTGTTAGGGTACCTAGGGCCCTTCTAGATTCACTGCCTACATCTATCAGAGTCCGGCCTAACACCTGGCACTTAAAGGCTCAATGAATAATCCATATTTGATGAATCAATGAATCACTGGGCTATGAGCCTCCCACCCACACCTCTAGGCTGAGACACAGTTCAGGAGCTGGGGCTGAAGCCGCTGCTCTCGCCCTCCTTTTACTGACCAGGGGACCCAGGAAAGGCTGGGACAGCCATGGCCTGAGTCTGTTCTGAGTTAGGAGCACACAGACTGTGTTCATTTTCAGCATATCCTGATATTTTTTAGTTTTCGCATTGGATCAGAATCGGAAATCGCCCCCATGCGATGATGGCTGGGTGGAGCTTAGCTCTTTTATGAACCCCATTTGGGATAAAGCTGTTTCCCACGTTGTAGGCATAGCAGAGGTCTTGCAACAGAGGCCTTTTCCTACGCCTGACCCATGGGAGAAAGAACTGTTAAGGGCGATTCTTACATCTTCTCTCTGAATGCACTTTATTTGGGAAAACTGCCTTTGCATGAGGCCAAAGCGCCCCAATCTCCATTTTATCTGCTTTTGCCCATTCGCCAGCACCGTGTAAATAATTCTGCTAGGAAATGGGTGGCAAGCTCAAATTATTCAAGACCATTGAGTCTTTTCTGGCTTCACTATAAACTGTAAATAAGAAACAGATACAGGGAATGTGCCAAGGCGTGATGAAAGCTTTTCAAAAAAGATAGTTGTTTAGGTTACTCTGCTAAAAAGAAAAGGCTGAGGAAAAATACAGTTTATATGTCTGGGTATTTTATTGGTGCTTGTTAGAAGGCATTTTAGCTATCCCACCTACCTGATTCTTTTACAGCAATAAAGGGGCACTTGAATGGGATTGCCTTTGAGTTGATGAGATAATGAAACATATTATATTAATAGAGTCTATAAAGGGGGGGAAGGGAGAGGGTTTTGGCATTGCTTATCAAAATAAGTAGGATATACCAATTAACTGAAAACGAAACAAGAAGAGTGTACCAATAAACTGTGGTCAAAGGAATGCTGTAGACCATCCGGAGGATATTAATAAGACCTTTTGTGATTATTTTAAACTTTCTATTTGCAGAGAGCAGATATGGAAATTGGAGATTTTATTAGTCTTTCTGATGTAATGGTAAGAAAAATCAAAGGGTTATTTTTGACTCTGTTAGAAAATGAAGCAGTAGGTAAAATTTCTGACTTGTATGAAAAGAAATCTTTCACAGATGCCAGGGGTTAGAAATGGAAAAAACAATAAGGAGAGAAGCTAACTGTCTGTTCTTTGAGCTGGCAAAATGACCTGGATTCAGGTGTTTACGGCCTATATTTCCTCAATAAAATCGCCCTAACACTGAGCCATGGAAATCTCTCATTCTCGTCCCAGTCTCAATTCTGAGCCACACCCACTTGTCAGAGCTGCCGGTCATTTGACAGACATATGCCTGCTAGAGTAAGAGAAAGGCATGGCAGAGGGTGGGGCTTTCCCTCCGAGGATGGAGAGGGGACAGTGTACAGGCCAAAGACTTGAGAACACGTCAAGGGGAAAGCATCGGCTAGCTGGGCACCCAGCATTTGGATCCCAGTGTCCTCACACTCCGGTGCTCAGGGAAACTCAGGTGAGCCACCTGCAATCATTGGTGCATTTATAAAATAGGTAGCCTCTTACCTTCTCGGTTTTCTAAACTTTCTATGATGCAAGTGGCACTGCATGGAGGTTGGAAAGCACATATTCTGGATTCTGATGTCCCTCAGTTACCTGCTATGTGGAGTTGGGACCACTTAACCTATCTGAGCGCCTGTTTCCTCCAGGCATGTGGGTGATAATAACAATGTAAGAGAGTTTGGTCTGTGGAAGGCACCACATATATCTTGGTTGTCATCATCATCATCACTAGCACCATGAATTCTCAATCAGAAAACCAGTGTTATGCAAGTAATACTCCACAGGCTGCAGTGAGAACAGACAGACTGTTCCTGAAACTGTTAAAACCAAAAAGCATTATGTGTGCAATCGTGAGAGTGAGAAGGACTTTTATTTGATGGGTTGGACTGGATTCCCCCTCAAATTCATATGTTGATGCCCTAACCCCCAGTGTATCAGAATTCAACCTTCTTTTGGAGATAAGGTCTTTAATGCATAATCGAGCTAAAGTGAGGTCATTAGGATGGGCCCTTATCCAACATGACTAGCGTGCCTGTAAAAAGGGAAATTTGGACATACATGCAGAGAATGAAGACAGTGGAAATGGAGCCAGGGAGAAGACAACCATCTTTAAAAAACAGAGAATTCCTGAGGCCCCCAGAAGCTAGAAAAGAAGTCTGGACCAGATCTTTCCTTACAGCTCTCAGAAGGAACCAACCCTGCTGATGTTGGACTTCTGGCCTCTACAACTGTGAGACAATGAATTTCTGTTATTTAAGCCATCCAGTTTGTGGCACTTTGTTACGTAGCCCCAGAAAACTAATACGCTACTCATTCCCTATTTTATGGATAAGAAAACTGAGACTCAAGGAGGTATAATGACTTGCCCAAGGTCACATGGGCAGTTGATTCTGAATCAGGACAAGAACCTGGTACTTGCTGGCTCAAGAACAAAATGAATTGTTTTAAAAAGGGTTATTAATAAAAAGGAGGTGGCTTCAGACCCCAAGACTTTAGCTACTGTTTCTAGTAAAGACCTGTTAGCCAAGATTCCACGACACACACACACCAAGGCAGTGGCTAAACTGTCCAGATGTGCTTGGGTCTGGAGTCATACTTATGGGTCAAAATCACTTCTCAGTCTGAAGAAAAGAGGGTCCACTGCTTCTCTCTTGTGCATCTGAGTGCCTGAGACTTGTCAATGGACAAGTACCTGGGATGCGTAGACTTCGAGGTGGGTGGTCACTATTTAGAAATGAGACCTCATATTACTTGCTCCCCCATCCTACACAGGCCCATCTCATATTCTGCTACCTGTCTGCACAGCTGGGTGTTCGGCAAGGGCTCTGACCCTGTTGATTCTCTCCTCCCCTTCTCCCTTCCTCTCCATTAAGCAACAAGATAAATAACTTCTGTCCTGGTTTTTCTTTCAATGCACATGCTGGAGAAGAAATTATAATCTCCTTGGAAGGGAAGCATGGTTAGTCAACCTGACATTGCTGTCATCCTGGAAGCTGGGCACGTTGATTTACTCGTGTAGGGCCTGTCACTGGGCTGACTTCTTCCATCGGTCTAGCCCAGCCAACAGGATAGAGACATGGGATGAGGTACCTGCGAGAACCTGGGCACGCTAACGAAGGGCTTTCTGCTGCTGGATGGTGAATTCCTGTTCCCAGGGCTTGGAGGAAGGTAATGTCAGGGCAATGGAACATTTTCATAAGGCTGAAAAGCTAAAAATAAAAATGTGCTGGAGAGTCATGTGCTACTTACAAGACTCGAAGGTTCTTGAGTCCAGCGAAGTCTGTCTTGGTGATCCTGGTGATATTATTTCTGTCCAGGTCACTAAAATGGAGAGCAAATTTGGGTAAGATTTTTTTCAGGTTACTTTTATGGTCTATTCAACCCAGACAGGCTTGGACTGGAGGGATGTTGCTTGTCAAGAAGAAGGCAATTTCAATGATTAATGATATCCCCTGAGCTTGCCCAACTAACCTAAAGGATATTGTGTGGAATAAGCTATCCATTATGTATGTAGTAGAGCCCTGTTATATGTAGCTGCCTGGCTTCTGTTGCCCTTCACCAGGTCACAAATTTTTCTTTGGAAGCTCCCCTCCTCCAACTCACAGATCCTGTCCTATAAGTGGGGCTGACCCTTCATCTCAGCTCCAGGGATAAGCACCTAATCCAGGCCAGCCTTATAAGCATCTTCACTCCCTCTGACCACAGTCATTGTTTCAGGAATGCCTACATGGCTCAAATTCCCAATAGGTTCCTCTCTACTGGGGTTGCTAAGCTGTTTGGTGCTGCCAGTAGCCATCTGGCCCATGAAGACAGAGCTTTCCAGAGTTAGGAGATGAAAAAAGACTGATTTCTGGTGCTAGCCCATGAGTATCTGGAGCCACACATCCCTGAAGCCAGACACATCTACATTTTGAGATTACATGGAGCCACTCTATCCCACCTTCCTTATATTTTGACTTAAACCAGTTTGACTTAAATTTGCCATCACTTGAAACCAAAAGAATCTTGGCAGACTTTGAAACCTAGTTAGGTACTTGTCTATCTTCCAGCTAATATGAGAACTTCCCAAGGGCAAAGACTGTATCTTATTTAACTCCATGGCCCAATAAGGCAGATTATGTGCTTGGCTCAGAGTAGAGGTAACTATGTCAATTTCATACATTAGGTAACAAGGGCTACATGGATTATTCCTGCCTCAGTTTGTAGGCTTAATATCCTAAAAATGGTCCCAAAGAGAAGAATTTGTTATGGAAGAACTGAAAGCATTATGGTGACATTGATGTTGGGGAGAAGGAAGCACCATGGGGTAGAAAATCAGGATTAGGAAAAACCAAAGTCAAGAATGAACCTGTGCACAACTGTATAAATGTGTTCACCAAAGTTATCTAAGAAAACTGGACACAACAAAGGACCATAAATAATGTCTAATTCTTAATAATGAATGCTGAACAATTAATTCCTATTTACTATGCCTTTCTTATGAGACACTTTCCCGGGCTTTGGCCAAGTTAGAGTTTCAACAAGGTATCTGTAAACTTAGGGGCTTTGCATTCCTCCAGAACATTTAGCTACTGAGAGGCCATTTTCCCGTGATGGATCCCTATCCAGACATTCAAGACATTAGTCTGCACTTATCCTGGCATCACTTCCTGCAGTTTGTTACCCACGGTTAACTGTGAAAAAAAAGTAAAATTCCAGAAATAAACAATTCATTAGTTTTAAATTGTATGCCATTCTGAGTAGCGTGATGAAATCTCACGCCTTCCCACTCCATTCTGCCCGGGATGCGAATCATCCCTTTGTCCAATGTCTCTACACTGTAAACAGTACCAGCCCATTAGTCATTTAGTACCCGGCTCAGTTATCAGATCGACTGTCGTGGAATCACAGTGCCTGTGTTCAAGTCACCCTTATTTTTCTTAATAATGTCCCCAAAGCACAAGAGTAATGACACTGGCAATTCATATACGCCAAGAGAAGCAGTAAAGTGCTTCCTTTAAATGTGAAAGGGTATTAGGTACAGGAAAAAACATAGTACACAGCAGGTTCGGTACTATCTGAGGTTTTAGACGTCCACTGGGGGTCACGGAACTTATACCCTGTGGATAAGGGGGGGCGACTGTACTTCCTTGGTTTTCCTAGTCAGGTCCTGTAGTTACCATCCTGCAATCGTGCCTCAGTGAGACTTGTGAGATCTACAGCTGCCTGAGGAGAACAGGGAAACAATTTTCAGATTCTAGAACTTTGCAGGAGGAAAAATCCTGATACGGAAATAATACTGAAATAAAAATGAAGTGGGCCCTTGAGGAGCCTCACCTGGAACCATCCCCCCAACGTATCCAGTGTTTTGCTATCTAAAATAGCAAGTCGTTTCTCAACTAGCCTGCGCTGGAGAGGGGCAGTATTTCGACTTCCCAGACTAAGCTCAGTGCTGATGGAGCAAGAGCAAGAGCTGCGCAGGGAAACAGAGGCGGGCCGCTCAAGCAAGGACTAGGTACTGGCACGCAGGCAGCAATCTGCGTGCTCATAATCACCCTGAGTATTCTTCCCACCTCCCATCACAACTGGATGGTTGTTTGGGGACCTTGACAACTGTGAATATGACAATGCAGCTAGGGGTTTAATTACTGGGACACAGCATGGCATCTCAGCATCTACTGCTAGTGGCTGCAGCATCAATATTTCTCAATTAACATTTATTAAGTGAAGGGGCACAAAGTGTGCTGCCGAGATGCTGAGGACTTGGTGTCAGGCTTGCGGTGGGGACTGTGGGGCTGCCCTGGGAACACAGCCAGTGTCTGGGAGGCTGAGCTTCAGAGGCAAGGAGCCCTGAGTTTGAATCCCCGCCTTGCCACTTAATGAGTGACTTCAAGGCAAGTCACTCTATCTCTGAGGCTCAGTTTCTTCATCTACAAAATGAGGCTGACAACCTTGACCTCAAGAGTTTTTATGAGGCTTAAATAAGATGACACACGCACAGCGCTTATCTGACACCTGTTAAATGCTCAATCATGGCAGCTATTGTTACGATGATTAGTTGAATACCCCCACCTCCACTCTGAAATGTCAGTGCACCAAGAGCAGCTGACTGCCCCACCCCAAACTCTGTGCTTCGAGACAAATCCTGGGAAGAGACTCAGTTGGCATCGAGAGAGAGGGTGGCTGACAGAGTGGCAGCACCACAAGCGGTCTGCCACACTGCCTCTCCCTTGAAGTATTTCTGGGACATCTACAGCATTTCCATGGTGTCTTCCCTTCCCCCATCCAAAACATACATACTGCCAGGCTGCCAGGGAGAAGGTCAAGGAGCACGTGGGCTTTGAGGTGAGACAGGTCAGGGTTCAAATCTCTGTCCAACCCCCATTTCCAGCTCCAAGAGTTTGCATAATCTACTTAACTTCTCTAAGCCCCCATGCTTTATGTAACCCTCCCCTACTTGCAGACCTTGCAAACTTGCCTGGCTGAACATGGGAATTCATTAAACTGACACTGGGAAGAGACTGCACTACCTCCTGTGCCCATCCCTTCCCCAACCCCCATCGTCCCAGTCCAGGCTCCTCTGGACCCTCAGGTTTCTCCGCCTTCACCTTTGGCCTCTGAGGGAATCAGGAGATCTCAGCCTAGGATGAGTCTGAACCATCTGCGGGCATGGTCCCATCTGGGGTGATCCCAGATGGTGAAACCATTACAGTATCTAGATGTGGGGTGGGGAAGTGAAGAGGTTTTAAAATGTGTCTGCAGATGGTTTCTTTGACACACCTGCCATCAAGAGGTGGAGCGTATACCCCTTTCCCTTGAACCTGAGCAAGCCTTTGTGACTGACTGGACAGATGAGATTCGGGTAGAACTGAGGCGGAACCTCTGAGATTAGAAGAGACAATGAGTGACTGCCTGGCTATCTCTCAGAGCATTTGCATTGGAGCCCTGACCTGCCATGTGAAAAGAACAGAAGACCATGGAAGGAAGAGCGGGGGAGGGAGAGAGAGAGAGGGAAAGAGAGGGGCCTGAGGAACCCTAGTTGTTCCAGCTCTGGCTGTTGGAATTTTTCTAGCCTAGAGGTCAAGCACATGAGTGCAGACACCTTTGAGATTCCAGCTCCAGCTACCATCTGGCTATATCACATGAAAAACTGAGCCAGATCACCCAGCTAAATGACTCTTGAATTCCTGCCCACAGAAACCCTGATAGAGAATACTAAAATGAGTGCTATGTCTTAAGCCATTAAGTTTTGGAATAATTTGTTTTCCATAAAATGGAAAGATGAAAGAGAAATAAAGAGAAAGACACCTTCCAAATATTTAATTTAGCATTAACAATGGACTTACATTCACATGCCCCTCACATATCCTTTCTGAGGCTTGCCTATCACCCTTGAGACTCTCAGTAGGGCCGTTATGGTCAGGGATAGCTCACAGGAGCTGAAGGCACCCGTGTCATTCTAGGAATGAGGTAATAAGACTGCATAATTAGGGTTGTCCATTCCTCTAAGTGGGACTTTAGATATCATGTGAATCACCCTTGTGCAATATAGTAATCACAATAAGTGGGCACCATTCATTAAACATTGTGGCAGAGACTGGCAAGATGTCCATCAAACCATTTCCCTCTGTCTGGTGCACACAGAGACTGCNTTGGCCCTTCTCTCAAGGTCTGAGGAGTAAGACTGCATAATTAGGGTTGTCCATTCCTCTAAGTGGGACTTTAGATATCATGTGAATCACCCTTGTGCAATATAGTAATCACAATAAGTGGGCACCATTCATTAAACATTGTGGCAGAGACTGGCAAGATGTCCATCAAACCATTTCCCTCTGTCTGGTGCACACAGAGACTGCGTTTCTCAGCTTCCCTTGCAGGTAGGTGCAACCAGGTAACTGAGTTCTCACTATTACATGGGCAGAAGCAATATATGCTGCCTTCAGACCTGGATCCATAAGCCTTCCTGCTCATCTTGGGCTGGAGTCAGTAGATCCATGGAGGGCTCCAAGAATGGCAGATAGAGCCTGAGTCCCTGAGAGACTGCACGGAACAGAGACCTTCCCTCCCCTGCCTCCCCATTTACTCACATTAGACTCAGACATGTTCAAGAAATAACTCTTAAGACACTGAAGCTTTGGGACTATTTGTTACAGCAGTCTACACTGACAAGGACACTATTTTTGACCTGGGAGCTCTCCCTCCTTTTTTTCTGTCTTCTCTTTGCAACTGCTCTGAAAGGTAGGCACTAGTTGTCTGTCCATAGATAAAAATACTGAAGATCAGCCTTATTAAGGTTGATATTTGCTGGGCCCAAACCATGCACCAGGTACTGTGTTAAAACT